GCTGGCGCCTACGCTCTCACGGGCGAGCAGGGAAGGAGCACGCAGCCATAGCCGAGCTGCGCTGCTGTAAGCTGGGTGAGGCGCAGGGTGGTCCTTGGGTGCTAGTGGCATCTGTGTGTTGGGGAACGAGGTTGTGAGTGTGGCAAGAGACATACCTGGTGCTGGAAGCGAGCGAAATTGGTCGCCATATGCTCGTACTTCGGGAGTGCTGTTGACGTCATCTTTCGGCATCGTAGTATAGGCTAGATAGGATTTGCCACATGTAGTCTGGGCGCCGAGCGCCAGATAGGATATCAACTCTGGTTCTTCGTTGGTGATGGTGGGACTATTTCAGCATTGTCAATTATGAACTCTTGGTGTGTTCTTATTTGGTGAATCTCGTGATGCAATTCTGCTGTTGGTTCGAGGTCACGACTATCTGGACTCATATGTATGATGCTGTTTGATTGCTGAAGTTCGCTATTGCTCATCTTCCTTGCACTAGGAATTAGCAGATTGGCAATTAACCCCCTCTGAACATAGCATACAACTTTCGTTGTACTACGCTCTCCATAGGGAATTCAAGATTTGCCTGTCCTGATCCACTAACAAGATACTCTTTTGAAGTTCAAAGAATTTGAATCCTTCTCTTGAAATTCAAGCTGTTTTTGGACGCAAGGCCAGGTTTCATGTTTCTCACTCATTTGCATGTTGGCTCGCATGTGACTCTTATTGGCATGGCAGTCCACAAGGTGGCTTTTGTACTCTGAGCAAGCTCCACAAGCATGGATTCATTTCAGCATGTGTGGACTTGTCGGGATTGCGACAGCGTATGCTTTCGTTTGGATCACACAGTACTACACTGATTATAAGTACCGGCCTGTGAGGATTGTTGCTGAGGCCAGCACTACGGGTTGGTATGCTGATCCCTGCCTCCTCTCCCCTGTCTTCGCTCCTTACTTTTTGAGACTTACATCTACGTGTCTGAGCTGCCCATGCTGCTGCCCTTTCACACCAACGTCAATAGTCCAGGTGATGCCTCTGGCTCCTCTGCCCCTATCCCCGTGTTTGTCCCTCCTCTATTCTTTCTCTCTCTTCCTTTTGAAACTGAATCGACCTGCTCCCGTGCCAAGTTTTTGTGCACGTTGTCTCCTTCCCTTCCTTTGCGTCCACCTATGCCTCCCTTCCCCTTCTTTATTTCGTTGCCCATTGCTTGAACCTTTATCCAGCTATGCAGTTTTCCGCGCTCCTGTTCTTTTATCTTCTTCCTTGTCCGAAGGTGTCCTGAGACATCGACAAATACTCCCACCCAGGCATGCATTTCTGTCCATGTTTCCTCTCTCCTGTTACTCCTTTAACGTGCATGCAGCAACGACCTGTGTAGTGAGAAATGCTAACTCATCATGACCCATGGAGATATGAAACTTGCCAGGATGTAACAATGGTTAATCTGCCTTCTCAATGGACTAAAATGAACTTAGTTATAGGAACTAACACATCCTGAACTCGCTGAATCATACAACATTGTTAAAATGATGGGTGTAAGTGAAGCGGTATGAAGTCAATTACAGGAACTAAGACACCCTGAACTGGCTTAATCTTACGATATTGTTAAAATGATGAGTGTAAGTGAAGCGGTGATTGGCTGCATGACTCCAAAGGGGATGGGTATAAGTAAAGTGGTGATCCACCACCTTTTGCGGCAAGAAGTCCTCAGCTGATTGCTTCCAACAACCATCAGTGACAAGTACAGCTCCAGTATCGACAGGTGTAAGCAGGCTGGCTATGATTGTCAGAGCCGTCTAGCCATTGGGTTGTGCAAACATGCACTTCACCTGTAATGACAACGCCTCCACTTTTGTCCACAGCAGGTTAACGGAGGCCCAAAAATTCAGATAACTTGTCGTGCCATTTATAACAGAACCCAGTGGTCATTTTAACCAAACTTTGCCACCAATTCATAGAGTGGAGACCATACTAACTAGTTGCAAAAAAAAAGACCAAAAAAAAAGAACCTATAAAACAGCAAGGCAAAAGTGCACTTCCATGAAATTTCGCCGATGTTCCAATTTCAGAAATTTTGAGAAATTTCAGATGTCTCAGCAGAGGAAATTCCAATGCTCCAAACGATACCAAATTTGGCACACGGCAACCTTGAACCAAAACAAAAACAGGCAAAAAAGAAAAGAAAAGAAAAAAAACATAAAATCTCTCCCCCAAACCCTAATTTCAGTTTTGGACCCGTCAGTCAGGGGCTGAAAGCGGGGGTCCCGGTTAACCACTTGTGTCACAGCAGGTTAACGGAGGCCCAAAATTTCAGACAACTTGTCATGCCATTTATAACAAAACCCAGTGGTGGGGGTCCGTGTTAACCACTTGTGAAAACCTTGTCAAAGTGATATTCAAGCAGGGGTGATTTCCCCTTGCCTTACATCAGTCCCAGTGCGTTCTCCACAGAGTGGCAAGGCTGGAAGAGCAGATGACAGGCCCAGATGGAGAGGAAGAGAGTGGTTGCGGCATGCATGGGCATCCCACATGGAGCCCGGGGAGGCAACCTGGGACTGAAGGCCCCAAGTCTGTGCAAGTCTCTGCTCAACCTTCATTTTGGGGCGGCCTTCGGGACTCTGGTGATTTTCTGGGCCTGATGTGTGGTTTGGTGAACGTCAATCACTTTAAGTGGTCTGGTTTACGGTAACATCAGTAGACAACACGAAATCCGATGTACAGGAGCGTACATCTCATTGGTTTCATGCTGCAGACCACAACAACGACAATAAAACCATTAACGAGCAGAGACAGCAGCAAAATTGGCATACTGGCAACAAACTGAAATCCACAAAAGTTTTCAAGGGGTACTCAACTATTCCCACACCTTTGATGGGCGAACATGAATTTACTGTACTTTTAGACAAAAAAAATCAGTCAAAAGACTCAAAATACCAAAAAAAAAAAGAAACTGAGTCCCTTAGGGTTGCGTTTGCTGCGCCCCTCGAGGTTGACCAATTGATGTGGTATTCTTTCCTATCACTACATATATAACTATTGCTAAGTTCCTGCCTGTGACAAGCGCACGATCGGGGCCCTCCGATCTTTTGCTGCGTGACGCTCCCGATTGTCTGCTGATCGTTTTTTCTTAGAAGTTGAAGCGTTGCCAAGGCCAGTACAGGTCCC